GAATTATTTCTAATTTTTCATTTATTTTGTCATTTTGTTCTTTTATTTTCTTCCAAAATTCTTCTAGGGATTTATCTGTGTTTTCCTTGATCTGTCTCTCAATCCTTTGAAGATACCTAAATATAATTCTTTTGAATTCCTTATCAGAGAGTTCCAATGCTGCTTCTTCCTCAAGGATGTGTCTGGGTCTGTATCCTGCTCCCTTGTTTCTACCACTTTATCTTGTTTATTTGTGTGGACTGTGATGGTATGTTGTCTCTGAGACATCGTGGCATTATTGTATTTAGATCTCTGTTAACTATTCATGAAGAGTAGCCAAGGGTAAGTCAGGCTCTTCTTGGTGGTTGTTTACCATTGGCCCGTTGGTGGAGAAGGAAGTGGTGGCTCTCACTCAGTAAGTGAAGCCGTAGGAGGTGTGGGCATAGTTGTGTTGTATGGGGAGTGTTGCTGTCTTCCACTCAGTTAGGCAAAAAAAAAGAACTGAATAACCATCAAAAAAGTAAAAGCAAATGGACAAAAAATACACTGTGTAATCACATAGGAACAGTAACCAAAAAAAGAAAAAAGGGAAAAAGAAGAAGAAGAAAAAAAAAACCTGCTATATTTGGGGAGAGGGCAATAAGAGAAAAAAAGTAGAGAAGGAGAATAATGAAGGAAAAAAATGGGAAAAACACAAAAAGAAAAACAAGGAATGGGGTTAACCACGAGAAAGAAAGAAAGAAAAAATTGCAACCAGGAACAGGGAAAAGAAAAAAAGTTGAAAACTAGAACCTGGGAGGGGAAGAATAAAGAATAGTAGTAAAAAGAACAAAAGTAATAATAATAGTAGTAATTTTAAAACAGACACAAACAAACAAACTAAAAAACAAAAAGAAAGAAAAAAATCGGAGCGGGGAACCCAGGCTCTGTCCAAACAGAGACTGGGATGGAATTCCTGTCAGCCCAGAAAGTGGGTGGGAGTGAGGGCTGGCTGCACCTCCATTCACCAAGAGAGTGTGGGGTATAAGAGTAACAAGGGGAATGTCGCACCTTTCCAGTCATCCGGGTCCAGAGGTCCTTGGGGTTCCTGGCAAGTGGAGCCTGTTCTTGTTCTTAAGTCCTTGGAATCTGGGAGAACGCTGTTGCTTTAAATATCCAAAATGGTCAAGCCACTTATAAACATTCAAAATGGCTGCACCCTCCGGAAAGACAAAAGTCCATAACTCAGCCTGCCTTCCTCTTCTCTGCTTCCCCTTTTATTTCCCAACCACCAGATCAGTCCTCTGTACAGTTTCTGCCAAACAGGGGCTGATTTTATGTCAATTCTTAGGTCCTACCACCACTCGGCAATATCCAAGCTGTCTGTGCCGCCAGGATCGCTGCCAGAGTGCAGCTCTGTATGTCTCCTTTTTTGGTGTTTTCATGCAAATTCTTCTGCTAGTTGGAGTTTAGTCCACTTCTATATCCTTCCCTTCAAGGCTCAGGGGTCCAGGACTATCTTCTG